ATTATGCGTGCAGCTCTCTGCCAACCAGGACTACTGCCGGGGCAATGCGCCCCCAGGTGGAGAAGAGCCCTTTGTTCCTCGTTCTCCGTGTAGCCGCCATCCGACCTCCTCAAAGAAGCAGTCACTGCTTCTATGCTCCCGCAGCATGATCTAGAGCTTCTGCGCTTAGCCCTGCGGATTTCCTTGCTGTAGGCTGTCAAGTTCATCTTGTACTCTTCCCAAGTATCTTCCCGCTTAGCCCTATTGAAAAGCCTGCGAACCCCGACCCTCAGGTTTTCCAATCGCGGGGTCCACCAAGGTTCCCCGGATTTCGGATTTCTGAAGGAAGATTTCTCCTCCATCAATCCACCCAGACAAAACCGGATGATTCTATGAACTGAAATAGAAACCTCCTCCGATACCTTCCAGTCGCGTACCAAAAATCCCACATTCGGACTGCCGAATGTGATATCTAGCACCTCCTCTAACCCTAGTTACAAAAATTGGGGCATTCCCTACACAAAATATTTCTAGGTTTTCTTTAACTACAAATTCTAATAAAGACTCACCTATAGTTTAACTTAATGGAAATTTCTTCATGCAACTGCATAACAGATGGATGACGTAATCAAAGGAACGAGTTGAAGGCAGAAAAATTAATTAAAAAGTTTTTCTCCTCGAACTGGACTCGAATCAGTGACCTACCGATTTCTAGGCGGACGCTCTACCAACTGAGCTGCAGAGGCATGAAGAAATTGCCGACGAAATGTTCTCCACATTGCGTTTATACTGTAATCCACATGATTACTAAGTATTTGTTTACATTTGATTGCTACATACTCACCTCTAGTGTTGGTGTCGCTGCTTCCCCACGCAACGTGATGCGCATTCGCATCGCAGCCCATGATGAGTGGCCATCTTTTCCTATTGCACTGCTCCACAAGCCTCCGTACCTCCGGTGGCGGATGGGATGCTCTATCCCCCGGAAAGTACGCTGATGCGAGCACTATCTTCAAGTCCTTGCCCCCAAATTAATGTAGACCCTGACAGGTGTGAGGTCCCTTGTTATGTACTTTGAAAGTAAAATAAAGTTTTTTTTTTTCTAATTAGAATGCAGATCCTGGGTCGACCCTGCCCATAATCCCATACTACCTGTGCATCCCTAATTAACAGTTCCTTGAACTGCCCCTTGTATACCTAGGGCTCCTGTATCATGGCTATGCCCAGATGTTCCTTGGTGAACATCCTTGCCAGAACAGCTGAAGCTGCTCTGGTGTGGTGGACATTCACCTGGGCGGCCCTGGTGCCTTCGTCCCTTATTTGTTGAGTTGACTGGCAGGGTGACCTTCCGCTGCCATCGGGACGTCATTTTCTGGGAAGGACTCCCTAAGACTCAGAAGGGTTAGCTCCAGGTCTTCCACCATCTCCTCATCCGGGGTTTCATATCCCTCGGAAAGACCCCCCTCGTCCGCTGATTCCTTTTTTGGATCATATGACCGTGGCGATTCTACTCGGCCCACCGAGGATTTCACCAACCTCATTCATTCGGGCTGCCCCATTCTGAGCCCGTGTACAGAGATTTTCCCGAACCGGTTCCGCAGAATGTGACCGCCCCGCCTGATGGCTTCCGCGAAAGAGTTATCGATCCCTATTCGGATAACCTTTCCGCCACCGTTCTCTCGCTGCCCCATCAGCTTCCAGACCCGGGTGTGTATTTCCCCGTTTTGGGCCTGGAAGATGACCAGCGTTTTTTCCCAGGTTTGGCCCCCGCTCCTGGGGACGAAGATGGTGATTACACAAGGCTTAGGGATGTCATCTCCCTTCCTTGCCATCAATTCTGGTCCGCTCCATGTGCCCAGAACTGGCGCTCGCTTGATCAGCATTCAGTGCCCGGTTCCGTTTTCGAGGTGGAGGGTATGGGGTGCATTCCCATATTCCTTCTTTCAGCCGTTTTCCTTCTTTTGGCCTGCTCTTCTTGGGCTGCCAAGGACTCACGTCCGCGCTTGCCCCCCTGTGCCAGTGGAGGTGATTTTTCCTGCTCCAGGAAGCGCAGGTACCACCTGACACCTGCACCGCTGAGTGCTCGTCTGCTCGGAACATCCAAGCCTCCAGACTGACCCAGTGATGGCAAATAGGAGGGCTTCCTCCTTCTGCCCCCACGGTGCATCCCGGAAGGCTTGCCCTCCACATGGATAGCCTGCGAGGATGCGGAGGGCTTGCTCCGACTTTGCTCCATGCCATTCCTCGCTTTCTCGTTATTGCAAGGGTTTAGTCTCCATTTCCCTTGCAACCTTCTCCTTTTTTGTTTTGTCCGGTTGCTCCCGGACCATGACGGTGTTTTCCCGTCATATCGATTTTTCTGTTTTTGTTTTTTGTGTCCCATTCATGTATTGGTCCCACGAGTAGCTAGGGTAAGAGTAGTCCGCTACGCCAGAACCCCGCATGACGTACAAAGTTCAAAAATACTCTCTGAGGTGACCAGGTATCAGAGAGACTCCATTCGCGGTAGCCAGTATACCCTCCGGCTACCAACTAGTCCACTAGGCACGGGCCGTATAACACCATTGGATTGGGGTGGGGGACTTATTGAAGGTAAACTTACGCCGTAAACAATAGGTAGGTTATGTGATGGCAACAAATTTTACATATCGAGTTTTCGTGGGAATGCACTTCTCCATAGTAGGGAAGTGTAAGCAAACTATTTTTAACAACCTGTCGATCCGTCGGTCTGTCGGTCTGTGTGTGTACGCGTGTATCTCAAGTTCTACTGAACCGATTTTGATGAAATTTTATATGTAAGTTTATTTCCACCATGGCATGGATTGATCAACTTTTGGGATATATCAGGCCTCGGGAGCTGCACTTTTTAGCGGGCCTGTTTTACATTTTTGAACATTTTGAAGAAAGTATTCAACCGATTTACTTGAAATTTTATATATAAGCTTTGCTCGATCGTCCGCGAAAATTCCTATGTTTTGGAAGAAATCAGACATCGGCAACTGGACGTTTACTACGGGCCAAATATACATTTTTGTGTATATGAAGAGAAATAATCAACCGATTTCATTGAAATTTAATATTTGAATTGCTCGTATTGAAGCAATGAACATGTAAATTTTTTGGAAAGATCAGGCATTGGCAACTAGACGTTTACTACGGGCCAAATATACATTTTTGTGAATATAAAGAGAAATAATCAACCGATTTCATTCAAATTTAATATATGAATTCCTCGTATTAAAACAATGAACATATAAATATTTTGGAAACATCAGGGCTCGAAAACTGATTTGCGGCCGATTTTACGTTTTTTACCATATCTACGGAACGAATTGATGGGATTTCATGAAATTTGATATTTGAGTTCTGGACATTACCAAAACTAACTGGTGGGCATTTCAGGGAATTCGGATAGCACAAAACGAAACTGTACTAAGAGCCAAATTTACATTTTTCTAGATATGTTAACTATAAGCTTTCAAATGTCCTTAAAATTGGAAAGAAGTACTTAACAGACATTTTTTTAATATTCTGTAACACTTTCACTCAACTAGACAATACACAATGTGGTCGGTTATGTGCTGACCACATCAGATTTTTTTTAAAATTAATTAGTAATTATTTAAAATAATTATTACTAAAAGTTTTTATACACTTTCATTAAATCAATAGAATTTTAATTAAATATTCTACATACATAAGACGTTAATTGTGATTTATTACAAGACATCCTAAATTATGAACTCTTAGTATCAAATTGTCAATACATTAATTGTAGCTCATCCGAATTTATATACTTCCCGAGCTGGATTCTTTAAAATGAATATTCTCGAAAAATCTCTAGATCGTTGAGAATTTTTTAAATTTTCACGGTCCTAAATGTGTTCCATGGTGGTATACATTAAAGCATTCTTCCAAAATTTAATATAGTGAAATTAAAAAATTGAATTACTAAAAAAGAATGAATAATTAGATTCTAAAATAAAATTTTCTAAAAATTTGAAATTACATCTAAATTGTTACAATTTGTTGGTTTTTCAAAATTTTTTTGTCGGTTGATATCGGGATTGTTTTTTTTAAAGAATTTTGAAAATATTTTTTAAACAGTTTTAACAATTGTATTTTGCAATAAAATTCTTTATTATGAAATACTATTAAATACATAAAAAAGTTCCTTATCTAAATTTTAGATTTTTTCTTAACAAAAAGATTTGCTGTTGCTATAACTTATGTCTCTAATTTTATTAAATAAATAAAACACAAACCACATACATATTTAAAGAAATAGGGGACAAAGTTAAAGAGAAAAACCACGGGTACTTTCTATTCTACTGCAGGTATTCAAATATCAAAAATAATATTTGTTTTGTTTCAACCTAAGAACCTAAGACTTTGGTTTGCTTAAGATTATTCAGATGTTCGCAAAAAATTTCAAAAAAACTAAAATATTTAAACAGCTGTGGTCGTTATAAATAACAAAAATAAATTTTAGAATGCAAAAATAATCAACATTCGGTTATTATACACTTAATACCAAATTTTATTCGTAAATCAATTAGGAATAAAAATCATAACTAAAATAATAAAAATTGTGTTAATTATTTCATAAAATAATAATTAGAACGATGTAAAATTAATTGCTACGCTTTTAATTTTCCCAGAATCGCATTAGAAATCACTTCATAATTCACTTGAATTATGAAGGCATTTTATAAGATGAAATACCAACCAAACTTAAGCCCCCCGAATCACCAATTCCAATAATTACAGCTAGTAGCCGAGCAACTTTCAGAATAATACAACACAATATCTGATAGTCGCCATTTCACACTCCATTCTACTAGAGTAAAAAATCAGATCAAATCACATACAGGCAATATTCTTCAATAAGAAAGTTTTTCTTTCGCGTAATAGAAGAACTAAGTGTAATTGACCACCACAACGTACAAAATGAATAAATTTGGCAGAAAAACTGAAAAATCGTTAGTATTTTTGCGAATTTCAAGAAAACACTTTTAAAAATGAAATCTTCAATTAGTTACGTTATATTAGCACTCTACCTTTATATGGGAAGCTTCACAACAGTTCAAGAAGCATCTGCAGGACTTCCAATTGATCCATCGCCTGTATTATGTAAAAGAAATTTCCTTATTTTTTGCTCTCCTAAATTATTGTACCAATTTTAATTTGACTTCTGTATTTTAATTTTGCAGCACTAATTTGTGGCGGTCAACATGAAATATTTTTAGGACCAGGTACAGCACCGAATTGCGATCAGCATTGTGCAACATTATGCGAACCATGCGACGTTGTCTATATACAACCACCTTCCGGCTGTTACTGTGCACCTGGTTTTTGTAGGAATGATAATTACGATTGCATTCCAATATCACAGAGCACATTTTGCAATAATTGAATGGAATATACATATGAATATGCAATTATATTGCAAGTATAATTAAAAATAAAGGAAAAATTCACACTAGTTGTGTAAAATATTTTGCTGATTTAATGAAATTTCAAGTATTTGTTCTGTTAATACAACTTTTTTTTTTATCGAGTGCGGTTTTATTTTACTATCGAACTTATATAATATGGTACCAAATTCACAAAATCAAGTTTCAAGGAAAAATTATTTTTCCTCTATTACAATTACAAACATACAGATTTGTATTAAAAGTTTGAGTAACTGAGCTTCGTGTAACTATGATATAAACTAATACTTATGGACGTAAAGGTTCAGTGTCTCAAGTCATAATAGAGTTTTTTTTCGTATTATTGATCTTATCTAATTAGCCAAGAATTTATTTCTCCACCCCACTTCTTTAGATAATGTAATAAACTTTCCAGGAAAATAAGTAATAGAAACTTTACCTTTGTGAACCTGTTTGTCATTCTTAGAACAATCACAACTAATGCTGTATCAGTTTTGAATTTTAGGATTTGCTTATAAGGGTGAATTTCATGTACTCTCAGAAAGAAGAAAATTTTTGAAACATTATGTCAACCATGTGGCGTAGTTTACAAACGACAACCTTTCGGCTGTTATTGTGCACCTGATGAGAATTCTGTTTGCATTCTGATACATGAGAGCGAAGCTTGCAAAAATGAATATAAAATCTTAAATATAATTTTAAAAGTGATGGAAGATTTTTATAAACAGTTATGTTTTTTATATCGTATTAAAATTTCTTGGATTTCAGTTTTTTATAACCAAATAATCCATGTACTAGAAAAAGATTTTGTTAATGAAATTATAAAAAATAAAGTTGGGTCAAACCAATGGTTTGTATTGTAGCACTTTTCCCTTCAACAAGTGAAAATTCTGCTTTTAAATACAGTCTATGTATATATATCTACCACACTATTAAAAATATTTTCATTGATATGCGATACTATTTCTAGAATTGCATATATTTAGGATGAACGATTTATGCAGTCTTTGAACTAAAGCAAAAATTAATATAAAGTGGGGTTAACATAATGCTCGATTTTAAGGGTTAATTGTATGAGTTAAGAAAAATAATTATATTTTTTAATGTCATGGAATTCACCGTTAACTTTTTGCATTTATAGAAATTTGAAAAAGCTTGCGGTTTCGGAAATATAGGGTGTCAAAAATTCAAATTTTACAAATTTTAAGGGGCGATAACTTGAGAGGGGATGGAGATGGAAAAAAATTTGCTTTTAACGAAATGAACTATTTGTTAATGTCTAAAAGCCCCTAAAATTTCAAGCTTCTACAGGCTGGGGTCTAAAACAAAAACGACATAAAAAATTTGGAAAAAAAGGACTTTAAATAACGGTAAATTTGAACGACTATTTTGTTTTTCTAAAGTTTAACTATAGTATACCTCGCTAGAGGAAGCAAGCCGCTGCCTTTCTGCGTTTGCAAAATTTCAAAAATGCTTATGGTTTCATTGCAACAAATAGTTAAAAAAGGCCATTTTTAGGGTTTTGAGGGGGTATAACTTCTAGAGGGGGGGAGATAGGTAAAAATTTTGTTCTACGGAAATAAGTTTCTAGTAAAGATCTATGTACGTACAAAATTTCTGCTTTCTATCTTCAAGGGTGTAGAAGGTAAACAGACACACGGACAGACGGACGGACGGACGGACGGACGGTCGGACGGACGAACGGACGGACGGATGGACAGAGTGAAACTAATAAGCACTTTTTTTCAAAAATTTTTTGGAAAAGTGCTAAAAAGTAACGAAAAGCAACGGGTACTTTCTATTCTACCGCAGGTATTCAAATATCAAAAATAATATTGTTTTGTTTCAGCCTAAGAGCCTAAGATTATGGTTTGCTTAAGATTATTCAGATTTTTGCTTCTTTGTATATAATAATTTGAAGACGATCTACATTTTCTTAGTATATTCTTAGTATTATACAAAAACATAGAAAAATTTCAAAAAACTAAAATATTTAAACAACTGTGATCGTTATAAATAACAAAAATAAATTTAGAATGCGAAAATAATCAACATTCGGTTATTATACACTTAATACCAAATTTTATTCGTAAATCAATTAGGAATAAAAATCATAACTAAAATAATAAAAATTATGTTAGTTATTTCATAAAATAATAATTGGAACGATGTAAAAGTAATTGCTACGCTTTTAATTTTTCCAGAATCGCATTAGAAATCACTTCATAGTTCACTTGAATTATGAAGGCATTTTATAAGATGAAATACCAACCAAACTTAAGCGCCCCGGCTCACCAATTCCAATAATTACAGCTAGTACCCGAGCAACTTTCAGAATAAGACAACACAATATTTGATAGTCGTCATTTCACACTCCATTCTACTAGAGTAAATAATCAGATAAAATCACATACAGGCAATATTCTTCAATAAGAAAGTTTTTCTTTCGTGTAATAGAAGAACTAAGTGTAATTGAACATCACAACGTACAAAATGAATAAATTTGGCAGAAAAACTGAAAAATCGTTAGTATTTCTGCGAATTTCAAGAAAACACTTTTAAAAATGAAATCGTCAATTAGTTTTGTTATATTAGCACTCTACCTTTGTATGGGAAGCTTCACAACAGTACAACAAACCACTACATCTTATCCACGATATCCGTATGATCCATTGCCTACTGGTAAGTGAAATTTTCTTATTTGCTCTCCAAATTAAATTACCAATTTTTTGCAGCGCCAACTTGTTACGGTCAGTACGAAATATATTTAGGACAAGGTGAAGCGCCAAATTGTGATCCAATATGTGCAACATTGTGCCAACCATGCGACATTGTCTTTATACAACCACCTTCTGGCTGTTACTGTGCACCTGGTTTTTGTAGGAATAATAATTACGATTGCATTCCAATATCAGACAGCAAACCTTGCAATTATTGCAACGGAAATTAAGTTTGAATATATGTATGTATTATCTATGTATATGTAGAGATATGACCAAGTACAATTAAAAGTAATGGAAAATTTCAAACTACTTGAGTTAAATATTTTTGTGATTAAATTCCAACTATTTTTTTTATCGGCTACGATTTTATTTTACTATCGAACTTATATAATATGGGAGGTTGTGTCATTGCACCAAATTTGAGAAAATCAAGTTTCAAGGAAAAATGCACTTCTCCATTACAACGAAGTAAAAAAACTATTTTAATTGAAATACGTATCAGATAATCTGTCTGCGTATCTGTTTGTTCGTGTGTCTGTGTCTAATATTTATGGATTAAAGGGTTCAGCGGCTCAACTTATAATAGAGTTTTATTTTACATTGTTGACATTTTCTAATAAGTCAAGAATTTCAAATGTATGAAATTTATTACTTTAGCCCACTTCTTTAGATAATGTAATAAACTTTCCAGAAAAATAAGTTACAGAACTTTACCTTTGCGAAACTTTTTTTCATTCTTAGAACAATCTCAGCTAATTCTCTACCAGTTTTAGATTTTAGGGTTTGCTTATACATAAAGCAGAGGGTGATATTCGGGTATTCTTCAAAAGAAGAGAATTTGACCGACTTTGAACATAGCTGATCTTTCTTTTATTTAAAATTAATTAGTAATCAATTGAAATGATTATTACTAAGAGTTTTTATACACTTTCGTTAAATCAATAGTATTTTAATTAAATATTCTCCCTATATAAAATTTTATTATATTTAGAGATAAATTTAGCACAATAAAAGGTCAAATATTTAAGCAGCTGCAATGGTTTCAAACAATGAAGTACAGTTTTCCAAATACGAAAACAACCAATTTTCTACTATACACACTTAACCCCGCTTTTCATTCGTAGAATAGGAAAATTTACCTTTATGAATAATTTGAAGGTTTAATCGAAAACGTCATGTTGTTGTTCGTCATTTTAAAAACATTTTAAAATTCAATTGTACCATAAATTTGTGATTTTGGTGTTAGTTTGGAAACGCATTAGGTTTATGTTTTCTAAATAGAAACAACACATTTCTATTTTTATAAATTTCCAGTACACGTCAAAAAATTACGTCACATATTGAACTTTATAAATTTCAAGGAATATTTGTAATTGAAAGAAGCTCTTAGGGACAACGTTGATAATGGACCATAGAGCTTCTAAAGTCTAAATTTTTTTTTGCTTTATCACAAGCGCTATCCAATTCGGCGTTTATATTAGTCGCGCAATTATTTTATGGTTGAGTCTTGTAGGATACTATACAAATTGTTTTGCGTATGATGGCAGTTTGACGTTTCCGATTAGGCCAAAACAAATATTTAACATTTATGTATAAAAAAATATGTGTATATATTTTTATATAAAACAGTTAGAAAAAAATTAGCTTAGAAAAAAATGTTATGGAAATATTTTTGATTTTTTTGAGGAGCTTTACTTCCATAATTTTATAAAAACAGATAATTAACAACTGACACGTGGTTTCAGGGATAGGTGTAAGTGTATGAAGATGTAACATAGTAATCAATAAAAGGCATTTAAAAATTGAAAAATTATTATTAATTTTGCGAATTTCGGTATAACACTTTTAAAAATGAGATCTATATTAATTTTTGTTGTGCTTGCATTCTATCTTTATACGGGAAGTTACGTAAGAGCACAACAAGCTACTGCTACTGGAATATATGATCCAACAATTTATCCTCTTTACCCTTACGATCCATTACCTACACGTAAGTAAATCTTCTTTATCTATTTCTTTTGAAATTGTACAAGTAATTTTTATTACAAACTAAATGTTTTTACAGAACCAGTTTGTTATGGTCAATACGAAGTATATTTAGGACAAGGTGAAGCACCGAATTGTGATCAGCATTGTGCAACATTATGCCAACCATGTGGCGTAGTCTACAAACGACCACCTTTCGGCTGTTATTGTGCACCTGGGTATTGTAGGAATGAGAATTCTGTTTGTATTCCAATACATGAGAGCGAAGCTTGCAATACTTGTGACATCGATAAAGAATGAATATAGAATCTTAAATATAATTCGATAAAATAATTTTAAAAGTGATGAAAGGTTTTTAAAAATATATACATACATATGTTTTTCATATCGTATTAAAATTTCTGAATTTCAGTTTTCTATAACCAAATAATCAGTGTACTAGAACAAGATTTTGTTAATGAAATTATGAAAAAAAAAACATGAGCCGAACATAATATTCAACAAATAAGACCCTAAATGGGATTAACAAACTGCAAATTTCTAAGGGAACCCGTACACATATTGAGTCTTTTAAAATTTATTAAAAATCGAATAATCCAAATTAAAATTTTAATCTAAATTATTGAAAATTGTGGAAATAGAACTTATTTGGCATGAAAGAATTTAAAATTAATTTATTTAACACGAAAACCATGAAGCTTTAAAAATTTTATTACCACTTACTGCAATTGAGAATAAACATTAAAGGAAAATTAAATAACAAAGCTGATAACTTTTAAATGCAATATGATAAAAGACCATATGGCATTGCATTCAGATAATCAAAATATCATAAGTAGTTAGGGCACCTATTGAGTATAGAATTTTGTATTTATATGCATTGATTTGGGGTTTGTACATCCAAGAAATATTTTAACAAAATAATCGAAATTAGCAATCATGCCTCTGCATTATAAAAAGAGTATAAATCATTTTTTGCATTATTGCATTCTCTGTTGGGCATTTTTTCCCAACACTAAATACTGGTGCAGCTATATAAATACTCGAACTCATTTTGTGTCTTTGTCAAATTTCATAGAAATTTTCTTCAATCCACTATTATTTAATATTTGTTTTCGTAATCAATAAATAATTCTACTAGTTTTAATTATATTACTTTACAAAATGAAATTTCTGATTTCAATTGTCTTTCAACTTTACGTTGGAACGATTATTTTGGCTATTGAGGAAACGGAATTTCTTCCTCCAATACCATGTCTAAGCCGTAAGTACAAATTAAATTGCGTAAATTTTATAAATAAAGCAAAATTTTTAGTGCATTAAATTTTCAAAGACGTAGAAAATATTTTGAATAAAAACACTTATTTTTATTTTGTTATTTTATAGAGCAAATATGTGGCACTAACGAGGTGTTTATAAGAGATTATGACGGCTTTACATATGATGTTACTTGTTCTAGCCTATGCGATCCGAAACCTCTACCACTACCATCAATAGACATTGATTACGGACGGCCATCAATAGGAATACCACCACCATGTAGTGGTGGAAGTTGTTATTGCAAACCTGGTTATGTTCGAGACGATAATTATGTATGTGTAGCAATATCAAGTTGCTGCATATGTAAAGGTTTAAAGGGATGAAATAAAAAATCAAATATATTTACAAACATAGACAATGTTGTTAAAAATGATAATTTAACAAGTATTTTTAACTTTTAAAATTTGTTTATATTTGTAATAATTTTGAATAAAATAATATAAGTCTATGGTTTCTATGCACCACATCAATAATTATTTTCCCCCTTAAATATTAGTTTTAGTTTAAATTAAGTGATAGATACCAAATCTGTAAAACGACGATGTATAGGTGAAACACCTGTGTTTCTACTACTTGTTCATTATTGTTTTAAAATTGGTAAACTACTATTAGAGGTTACAATTTAAACCTATTCCTTGCAAAGTTTATTGTATTATTCTCTTAAGAGTGCGATTAAGATTTAGGTTTCGAGAAAATCTACTGTTTCCGATTTGGTAAAAAAATAAAAATACAACTCCCAGTTAAGATTCGTAGAAAATTTTCAAATGTGGATTTCGTTAGGATCACAAGGCATTTTGGAGGATATTTTATAAAAAATCCATAATTTTTTAAAAATATAAATGCGATCAAATACTACTGTACTCTAATTTAGGTTCTGATTTCAAGTGTGAATAAAATATTTGTGGCATTTATCAGGAGTGAAGAGCTCTTAATTTTTTATCCTCACATTTCAAAAAATTTATGGTTCAATTTCAACAATTTTAAATTTCCAATATATTTTTTTTAAACTAATACAATTTACACTTTTTATTTAAACTATTTAAATAACTGCAAGCTTTGCTCTCTGATATTGGAATGCAATCGTAATTATTATTCCTACAAAAAACAGGTGCACAGTAACAGCCAAATGGTGGTTGTATAAAGACAATGTCGCATGGTTGGCATAATGTTGCACATACTGGATCACAATTAGGTGCTTCACCTTGCCCTAAATATATCTCGGATTGACCGTAACAAGTTCGTGCTAACAAAATAAAATTATATAATTATGCATTGAAACATAAATATTAAATACAAAACAACATTGAGTTTATCGCACGTACCATACGTGCCATATTATGCGTATATTGTTCCCACCAGGCAGAATACGGTATTGTGGTAGTTTGCTGTACAGTTGTGTAACTTCCTCCATAAAAGTAAAACACTAGCAAAATATAACTAATTGCAGATTTAATTTTTCAACACTTTTGGATGTCTTTTATGGGTCTGAGTTAATCTTTGTCTAAATATAGACCTAATCTCTGAACAGCTTGGCATTTAATTACGATATGAAAACCTTGGGGTTTCTAATTAAACTTGGGGCTTTCATAACTTTTTCAAAATCAGGAACAGTCAGTACATATTCATTATTTAAGAACGAATTCTAAGGCTAAGTGTTCACAACGGAGTGCTTGTTTATTTGTGTATTTTTAAATTGTTTTTATAGAAATAATAACACCTTTTTAAATATTTATAATGTTATTTGAAAGTATGTCTATTTTTGATATAACTGTAAATATTCAATCAATATTTAATTAGTTTGTTTTAAAGATCTATGCGTCTATGTATGTGTAAAGTTTCTGAATGAATGTGAAAAATTGTATGTTAGTTATAAGTTATGTTAGTTATAAATGGAATTCATGAAAGAGAATATTGTTCCATCTCTTTAAGTTTTATTTCTCGTAAACGAAATTTTACATATCGACTTTCCGGTGCTGCGCTTGCTTCTTCATTTATGAAAGCGTAAATAAACTATTCTTAGAGAAATGTCGGTCTGCCGGTGTGTTTGCCTGTCTGCGTCGGTCTGTGTGGACACACGTGTGTCTTAAGCTCGGCTGAACCGATTTTAATGAAATTTTATATGGGAGTTTAATTTGGCTATGTTACGATTTGATCAATATTTGCGGTATGTCAAATATTGAATGATTTAATAAAGAAATTTTAAAATTTATTTTAAAATTTTATTTTCTTTGATAACCAAAATGGTAAAGTTTGTAAATTTTACACAATTTCATATTTGAATTATTAGTACGGTGTTTAATGTTAATTATTAAAGAATGATGTTGAAAAGTTTCCTAAATCGAATTCATTAAAGTTTAACTTCGAAGGAGCCAAGCGAAACTATTACGAAATTTACAATTTATCCAATGAATTATCACGATTTATTTAAGCTATTGAATTTTTGGAACATGGCACTTAAACATAACATATGTTAAGTATTTTCTTACACCTTTTTCAATTTATTGAAACTTTGACCAATCGTTAACCTTGATAACAAACTTTATGAAAAAAAATGTCTTCAAAATTTAAAAAAGAATTGCATTTCCTTGTATTTGAACAGATGATGAATTTAATAAGTATTTTGAATGCTTTACTTCGCATTGCAGCTCATACTAAAATCTATAAAAACTCTTTTTTCAAAAAAAAAATTCATTTATATTTTTGAATACGTTGTAATAAAAGGTCAGAGCAATGAAATATTTCTTTAATTTAATCGCATTATCACTAGTTTTAATTATAAACTTCGGAAGTCTAAAAGAAGTCAATGGATGCGCTTGCCAAGGTAAATTTCCTCTTCAATTTTCAAAAGATGATTTGTTAAATAATTCTTTTGTTTTTGTTTTGGTTTTGTAGAGCCAACGTGTGGGCCAAATGAAGTTTACTTGAAACAAGGTGAAGCACCAAATTGTGATACCGTCTGCTCTGAATTATGTGAACCATGTGCAATTGTTTTTATACAAGCACCCTTCGGTTGCTATTGTAAGCCAAGTTTTGCCAGAGATGAAAATGGCAAGTGTATACCAATTTCAGATTGCTGTTTCTGCAAAAATAAAAATTAAATTAAGAAAATCAAGTAGAAGGTTAAGAACTAAATCTGATTACTGAAATAATAACTCTTTTTCAAAATCATTTATACGTAATTCATGTTAAATTATTTTTAAGTCTAAATTTTTATGTATAACAGCCTTTATCGTTAACACTTTTGTTTATAACAGTTGATAAACTTTTCACTACAGATAAAATAAGTTTAAATACCATAGATTGTGTCTGTGTTCTTCTTAGAATGTAATTCCGTATACGTCCTAGCATGTGATTCCGTATACGGTCATAGCAATTATTTTATACAAAGAAAAAGCTGGTTTATAAATTTAAATTTCACTTCGAATATACATCTTCGATGAACTGTTGAGAAAATGTGGTCTCATACTCTGAAATGTCAGCAAAAGATTGCCGGACACTTGAAATATCTGTCAAATAATGTTTCTGAGCTTCTCTCAATTCTTTTTTATTGCGTGAAATTATCATTAAGTTAAATTTAGGAAAAAAGTGGATTACTCTAAGTAAATTAAAAATTATAAATAACAATTAGAGTTATTAGGCATTAAAAATTTTAGAGTTATTTTACTATTATTTCATATTTAGAATGCGAAACGTCAATATATAGCTTATTATGCAAAATTAGTCAAAATTATATAACAACAAAATCTTATTTCTTATAAGACAATACAATACACACAATATATAACCTCAAAATTATAATTACCAAAATAAAACCTGATAAAACATTCATATTTAACTAAAAAATTTAAATTATTAAGGTTATGTTCATAATATTTTTTTCAGATAACAAGAATAATACAACAATGTAGATAAAACCAAAACAAAAGTATGTGTACATTAACCTTCTATTTATGAGTCCATTTACCTTAAATGAAAATAATTTAAAAGCTTATACAAAAATTTATTTTACGAGAAAAAAAAAGGTTTTTCATATTTTTGATTTTTTGGTATAACAATTATAACGTACGCAAAAAAGTTCGTTGGCATCTTCGCGAGACTTTCGGTGTTTATGAAAAAATGAAAAAAAAACGATTAACTAAGAATATTAAAGACCTTATTTTTCTCAGTTTCTCAAATACAATATGAATTTTATGAGCCTAACTTAAAACTCTTAATTTTCGTATCTGAGACATCGCAAACACGGCTTAAATTCGGTTTGCATAATGAATTGCCCTTCCGATATAAAAGTAATTAGGTTATTGAAAAAAAGGTTAGGTTGGGTTAGCTTGTGCGACCCTCTCAAGGGTACACCTAGGCCACTAAGGCCCGTTTTGATGTCGCCGGATCCCCTCTCTCTCCCTCATTAGAACTAGCCCAAGTTCCTCAGAAACCGGCCAAGATCCCTAGTATCATCCTCCCGTCAGAGAGATATCAGATCCCTTGTGCGACGCAAGTCTAGCTTTGGCCACAATTTCCTTGCCGCGTTACACGTAATTCTATTCGCCCATCTGACATTGGTACGTTCTACCGCTACTCTGCATAGCAGCAGCCTGTGAGTGCTTAGAGGCATGCCCAGATTCTCCTTTTGAGGTAGAATTCCGAGGTCGTTTCATGTCTCGCAAGCTCATCCGCCTTGCAACTCAGTGAGATCCCACTGTGTCCGGGAACCAAAACCAAGTTTAACTCGTTAAGTTAAGAAACGACCTACAATCTAGGACCGTTCTGGACGTTGATGTCTTCCACTCTAGCGCCCTTATCGCGGCCTGGCTGTCCGTGAAGATGCTAACACTGCCCACGGACACCACATGCTCGCCAAGCCAGCGCCCTAATTGCGACCACCTCTGTGTGAAAGAGACTGCAGTGGTTCGGCAGGCGGAAAGAGAGCTCAACTCCCAGTTGCTCGGGGTAAACACCCCACCCACCTTTCCGTCAAGTTTGGATCCATCCGTGTAGAAATGGACGGAGCCATCTCTGACCGCGTCCCCCCAGCTTTTCCTGGGCAGGACCGATGCCCCGAAATTCCTCACGAATGAAAGCATGAGAGGAACCGAATCAATTGACCCCACCTCGTGCCCCCACTCCGCAAGGATCGAAGCGTGACCTGCGGGGCCAAACGACCACTGTGATGCGGTCCCCAGGCGCACTGCAGGCTCCGCAGCTATTTTCTTGCCCAGTATATCCAATGACAGTAAATGCAAGAGAATCTCTAGAGCCTGTGTGGAAGTGGAACGCAGAGCCCCACCAACACACACCATTGCCATTCTCTGAACCCTGCTGATTAATCTCAGGTTTAGGTAAGTACGGAGCGCCGGCTACCACATTAGAACTCCTTACATCAGAATCGGTCTCACCACCGCGGTGTACAACCAATAAACCATGCTTGGTTTCAGGCCCCACCTCTTCCCGATGCACGAGTAAAGCGCAATAGTTGCTTTATTTACTCTCTCCATGATGTTAAGTTACTCTCTTCAGTTCAGCTTTGAATCCAGAACCAGCCCCAGGAATCTAGGCTCCCTGCTGAAGGATAGGCAGATTCCGCCAAGTTTCGGAGGAGTTACGCCCGGAATCTTATATCTCCTACTGAAAATGACTAGCTACGTCTTTTAAGGGTTAATAGATAGCCCACTGCCGGTCGCCCAGTTCGAAACTAGACTAAGAGCCCTCTGTACCAGCACACTTAGTGCGTGGAGGTGTTTTCCAGATACGACCACTGTCACGTCATCTGCGTCGGCAACCATCTTATAGCCCACTCCCTTCAGGAGTACCAGTAACCGATCGATTACCACGTTCCAGAGAAAAAAAGAAAGCACACTCCCCTGCGGAGTTACTAAAAAAACACTAGCTGTAAAAATGCATTGTTTAAAGAAAAGTTGTGATTTTTCGATGTGATACTTTTAATTAAAACCAAAGGAATCATACATACATATATGTGATTAAATAACTACACATATATTTTTCGACAAAAATCCGAGAGGAGCAAGGTAGACGTCGGAAATATTGTTTGCTTAAAAAATTCCGTACAAAACAAAACTGGATATCTAAAATAACCATAATTGCAAAAATACCATGTATGTTATCGACTTGAAACATACATGTATTAGTTACATGTATGTTTCAAGTCAATTTAGTTATTACTTGAATAAGGAGAACTTGAGTGTCCATCTCTGAGTAAACTACATATTTTAGTTACTTGTTTCAACTTTAAGCTATTCTTGGGATAATAAAGGAAACAAAGTTTAATTAATTTAATAATTTCTTTCTTCATAGCTAATTATTTAGACTAAATTTTAAATATCAAATCAATTTTGCTTTACATTCTGAAATATTGCTAAATTCGAGTTAAACGCAATCTAAATATTAAATTCACGTAAATTCGCTTTTAGTTTTCGCTTTCACTTAATTTGTTTCGTGGAATATGGGAACATACATCCAGTTCAAGTTTTATTTATGTATATATTCTTTCGTAATACGTACATACATAGACAAATTTAAATTTTTTATTCTATTACAAAAAATTTAATGGGATTTCTATATATTTTTGTGCATTTTAATTTTTATTACAGTCACAATTGAAAAATCTTCACGTTCTGTTGAAAATTGTTGTGTTCGCAAGAACAATATAAATAATTAGTTACATTTGAGTTTTGATTCTTATAATAATTCTAAACAATTATTCGTTTTAATTATAGACAATGAAATTAATTATTTATTTAATTGTATTACAAATCTTTTGTCTGACTTTTGTTCTTAGTAATGATTCAGGCAAAGATACCCGTAAGTATAATTAAAAGTAATTCTAAAATTAATAAAAATGTTGTAAAATATTAGTTTTTACAATAAATATAAATACAGACTTATTGCAGAGATATTTTAATCAATGAATGTCAAGAAGGGGATAGATCTAATACTCTAATCTTTAGAGTGATATAGATCTAATACTTTAATCTTTAAGAGTGCTTTGTATTGAAAATGTTGTTTCAAAAATATTTTTTTATTTGCGTAATCAGAAGAGCTAATGAATAAATAAAAAAAAATGTAATCTTATACTACTACTTCGCCCGCGCATTAGCTTCAACCTATTATATAACAGCATTATGAAAAAACTACATAGCACAGGGTTTTCCAATAAGTGTGAGAATAAGTTAACGCAATTAAAACGTAAGACGTATTTGTTGTTGAAATAGAACGTGAACGTAGAATTATGTGCGGATTAACGAATTTTACAAATGGATCTAGTGCTATTGTCGATTTCAAGGCGACAATGGTTCTGACTTATTAGAACAGACTTATTTGTATAGACCGCCGATAACTTCACAAAAAAAGGGTATTGTAATTACATTAAGACTTCTTGGTGATCCACAGTGTAGTAAATTCCGTGAGACAATCATCGCACCAGACCGAGACTCAATTATTTCAATATATTACACACCACGCTGTCTTAATGAAACTAAAATTTGTTTAAATACGTACCATTCGGATATGGATATAAGAAAGGCTAAACATTACCTAATATAGTTGAAGTCAGCAATTTCTACTTGAATGTAAAACAACATGTGTGCTTAATATTTTACCTCAATAACTACAAATTTACTTGCTGAATTTAGCCAGGTTTGGGTTGAAAAAGCAACCCAAAACTGGCCAAATTCACCCAAATAAATAAAATCTAAAAATACTTAAACAATCATTCAATGTAAAATGATTTTGAAAAATCGATTTTAAAAGTAATTAAGTTCAAAATTTTATAAACTGCAAAAAATTTGAGCAATATTTGCGTATTGACACATCTTGTACGACTTTATAAAAAATCTATAAACCAAATGATTGCTTAAAGCAATCTATTCAACTATGGGTCACAACGTTTACATAACGTTTATTTTATTTTATATGTCAACAAGTTAACAAACAGTTTCTTTTTTAAATACATGTTTTCTTAATTTGTTCAAAACTACAAAATGATATTTGAACAGTTTTATAAAAATAAACTTTAGACACCATTGAAATACGACATAAATAGTTTTATACAAAGCGATATTTGAACAGATGATTCTTTTTCATTAAAAATATTAATTTTTTTAATTTAATTATTGCAATGTCCAAAGCTATAATTTTAAAAATTAATAAAAACCCTACCATCACTTGAAAAATCTTCATTTTACTGGACATTTGGGGGTCAAACGTTAATACTGTACAATGAAATTTTCGATTACTTGCGTTTTATTATCATTTTTTGTAGTAGTATCGTTAGCTGATGGTTTCTTCTTTTGGCCACCATACTTTCCTTTTTTCGAAAGTGAGTATAGCATTTCGTAGTAAAAATCTTAGTAAGGGCTTATACCTAGATGAAGAAACTGCATGCGATTGTTAAATTCAGCATTCTCGCTGGAGCATATCAAAATTGAACCGCACAAAAACACTTAATTGAACACTGGACACTTAGAATCGAAATTGGAATCCAGTGCGGATAACCTGCGGATAATATTGTGCTTTTAAAATTAGATCAAACATACATATGTTTATGTATATAGATCAATTTTTTTCGACAACCGCATGTCACTTACAATATCCATTTAGGAATAATAACACTAAATTTTTTAAAATAACAAAAATTTGTAACTACACGACATTTAATTGTATACGTTATAATTAATACAATTTTTAAATAATTTTAGAACCAGCTTGTTCCGGTCCCAATGAAGTGTATTTAAAACAAGGAGAGGCACCTAATTGTGATCCTGCTTGCTCAACAATATGTGAACCATGCACTATAGTTTTTATCCAAGCACCTTTTGGTTGCTATTGTAAACCGGGCTATGCAAGAGATTCAAATAATAAGTGTGTTCACATTTCTGATTGCCCTTTTTGTGGAAAGAAAAAACAATAAAATTCTATTCTGAAATGATATTTAATTTAAAATAATTTGTTGTTTAATTAAAACGGCATTAATTGATAATATGGTTAATGAATTAAGAATTTATTTTTTAAATACTTGTGAAATTTTGTCCAGACATATTACAGCAGAATTTCAGAAAAACATCACTTTTATCTTACAAAATTCAGAATTACCAATGGATAATGATCCTTAGTATTAAACTCATCACAATCGAAGTTTTATTGCAAAAATATATTGCAAATTTTACGAAGCAAAACCGTTTTTTTATGGAGTTTATTTGAAACTGGAGCACAGTTTATTTCATGAAGTACAAAATCTTACTACTATTGAATGCAAATTTTCGAATTGTAAATTTTTTCATATTTTTTTTAATTCATAATAAAAATAAAAACGCATTGCTTTGTTTAAAATAAAGGCTTTAATTTTAAAAACAATTTCGTCAAATATCACGATTTTTTAACGTCATCACAATTATGTCTCTTGACAATAAGTCACATAACAATACGCCATATTATATCAACGCATAATTTTATGGCTAGGTTAAGACACAAGATTTTGGGAAGAATTTCACCAAAGTAAACGTTAACGTACAAAACTCAAAATGATATACTCAAAATAACCTCAATAGTCAAAAACCAAGAACGGTTATCTGAAAGCTGTTTGTCCATTCTCCTTGGAATTCACCTGATTATACATTATTCAACTTGGATAATCAAAAAATCGGCCACTAAATAAAAATAATATTTTTCAATATCTTAATGAAATCTTTATTTGTTGCAATCACGTCCCAAGTGCGGCCAATACATCCAAATAAAAGTAAGAACGTTCATCTCGACTAAGTAGTGTAGTAAAAAACCTTGTTTTTAGTACTAATATTTTCTAAAACAAAGATCATTCTAAATTTTTAAATTAAAACTTTAATTTACGAAGTAAGTTTAAGTTTCTCATTTGTGTTGTTAGTATTTCAAGAATTTAATAAAAGCTATACATAATGTCGTGTGAAGTTATATCACTAACGTTACCCATTAAAAATCACTATATAAATACTGAAGGATCTTTCGATATTAATCAGACCAGTTTAATAAATCCTTTAGCACATAATCAAAAGAAAATATCTAATCTTTAGAAATGAAGTGCATTATTTTTGCAATATTTGTTCAAGCATATTGCCTAAATATGATTTTTAGTCAAGATATTCCGTGTTCCAGTAAGTTTCAAAATAAATTAATTATATTAAATTTTTTTAACTTTTTTTTCGTGATATTACATATAGGACCGGAATGCAAGGGTGCTAACGAAATTTATTTGTTCAGAGAAGAAGCACCGTTATGTGACACAAATTGTTCCACATTATGTCTGCCATGCAAAAATAATGTTGTTACTGAAGGCTGCTTTTGTAAGACAGGTTATGCTAGAGGAGCAAGCGGTACTTGTATACCAATACCAGACTGTTGCATTTGTTTAAATGATGTTCCAATAGTCAATTAAAAAGGAAATTGGACAAATTTTAATTTTTTCTATTTTTTAAAGAAATTCTGTACATAATAGTTTTGTATAAATAATAAAATAATAAGAAACGTAGAAAAAAATAATTGGTTGTGCCTTATTGCAATTTTTAATGTTTATGAAATTTGAATATTTTCAGGGTTTTGTTGTACCTATATGCTATGCTAATTAAAGAATGTGTGTATTTGGGGTTGTGGATTGTAAGATCGTAGACTAAAATGTGTTGGCAAGGCTGTTGAAATTAACCATTGCTTAATCTACACTAAATTTCCCTAATTGACTCAAAAGTTATATTATTGTAATAAATGAGCTGTTAACCATCAATATACATAATACGAATTTTAATTTTTTGTCTATTTTACCTTCTTATCATTGACACTTAGTAAGTTCATTCGAGCGTATGTTATAAAAATAAAAAATCTATTTTTATTACAGTAATTTTTTTTTGTATTTTTAAAGAATTGTAAAAATTATTTTTAAGATCAGCTATTATTAAATTTTATGCGATTTTTTAGATTAAGGGACAGAAAATTGGATCATGTGACATTACACCTTATCTTACGATAAATCTGGCAGATAAACAGAATTAATCAGTTTAGTCTTTTAGAAAACTTTTAAAACTTAGCTTCGTTTTGGAGAAAAAGGTGTTCAAAAGATCTGAACTTGGAAGGTTGGTTAACAAATTTATATTATATGCGAATTCTACGAAAGTAACACGGCCCAAAAAAATCGTATGACACACAATTTACTAATAAGATATTTGAATGAAATTTAGTTATGAAATTAGCAAAGGCTTTTTTGATGAACTAACAAAATATTTTCAACCTTTACATCGAAATTGACATTATTTAATATGCCATTGCGTCATAAGCGCATAAATTAAAAAAATCTATATATACAAAGGCATTGTCGATTTTAACTAATTTTGTCAAAAGACAGTTATCAGATCTAAATTTACTATTTTTTCTTTCAAAAAATGAAAATTATTATTTTTTTGATTTTATTGATTTTTTGCTTAAGAGAAATCTTTCCTGCAAAACCTAAACCTCCTTGTGAAAGTAAGTAGACTCATTTAAATTTTCTTAATAAAAAACAATTTTAATGCTTTTATAAATATGCAGGACCAACCTGCGCTGATCCAAATGAAATATATTTATATCATTACGAAGCGCCTGCCTGTGATGCAAATTGTTCTGTACTTTGCAAACCATGCAAAGATGATGTAAAAGTAGATGGCTGTTTTTGTAAAACAAATTATGCAAGAGATGAAAATGGTGTTTGCATTCCAATATATAAATGTCGCATTTGTTCTGGTGAAAATGTATCACAAAATAATCAAGGTACTGAACCTAGTGCAATTAAAAATGTATAGAATAGTCATTACTGCAATAAAAAACAATATTCAATAATATATATAATTTTTATTCAAATTGCAGGATTTTGAAAACTTTAATTTTACGTAAGATATCGAAGAATTCAATTAAAACAAAATGATTAAGTCCCTTCAACTATACTGCTTTGAAACTATCCTTATACCGATCGCATTGCATAACCCAATTTTACATGGGGAGTTTTCCATGAAAATGGATTTTTTAATGTCAGAGAAGCGTTTATGAACTATTTTTATGAAAATTTCCATAAATTATACTCACACTATAAAAAAAAATATTCAAAAGTCGTTGTCGTCCGTAAGAAACAAGAACATAACGGGATTTCGTAGACAACTCTTTGTCTTTCGTCGAGTTCAATTCTATTTTAAAACGTTTTAATTATAACTTTCATTTAACGCATTCCGAAAACTTCAGGTAGATAAGTGAACCTTAAGGTTTTAAATGCAGTTTGCACAAATAAATTAAGTGCGTTTTTCCCCCTATAACAGCTGTCATAACACGGATATTTTCAGTTCTAGTATATTTTCTTCAACTATTTATACTTCAGTAAATATTTCATGTCTATGAAATATATGTACATATGTATGTATATACATATAAAAGAATATTTAAATTTACTTTTTTTAAAAACAAAATGTTTTTGTTTACAATTCTTATGTTTACTTTTGAATATTTTAAAATAAAGGAACTTTCAGTTACGCAGGTAAACAATACGTCAAACTGTTGTTTAGCTATTTATAACAAATGTATTGGTGATTTTCGAAATTAAAAATTAAATGAACTTGGTGTACGAACAAAAATTTTTTCCTTTATAATAATATCGTAAAATTTACTTTGATTTTTTAAAATACATAAAAACATATGCGCACATGCATGAACTTGTGTTAATAATGAGTTGTTCATTGTCAAAAAATCTAGATAATTTTGGAAGTTTAAAAACAAAACTTACGTCAAATTCATCACTCAACTGTTTAATTTTGCATTCCATGAAGAAATATCATATGAATTTTCACAATATAAAATAAATCAAGTCACTAATTTATTGAATCACATTGCTTTTAAAAACTAATCAAACATGAAATCAAAAACAAGTTTATTTTTGGAATATTCAGAGATAATTGAGAAGCTGGTGACATTTGAGCCTACAACAACGAAAGGTCGTAAGATATCACTCGAGGTCTTGTGAACCCCAAATTCAGTAAATATTTAAAAAAAATTGTGATATACCACCAAATCATAATATTTTACAATAAGTTTACAACAAGTTTTATAGAATAAAAATAAACCACATTATTTTCGATAATATCAAATATGGCGTAATGACGTGTGATTCGTCTTATGTAAATATTAAAAGGTTTTAAAAATCAAAAAAAAAATTGGGATTTATTACGCATTTCGCATATTGAACTCACATTTTTCTGTTTTCTCTTTGTTTTCTTTCACGCTTTCGAAGTTCAACGGATACATATTCTATATAAAAAAGAAATAGCCTCAATTTTTATCAGATCTACTTTGAAATTCCTTGAGAAATTTAATTCAATATTATTTTATTAAATAACATGAAATTAATAATTATTTCAATATTTTTACAACTAATGTACCTGTCAAATGAGATTTCAGCTCAAGACATACCCTGTTTAAGTAAGTTTAAATTATGTGTCTACAATTTTATATTTTTATTTTTCCGAAAACTTTCATTTTACAGGACCAACATGCCAGGACCCAAATGAAATTTATTTATATGCGGATGAAGCACCAAATTGTGACCCAAGTTGTTCTACAATATGTAGTGTCTGCGAAACCGATTCTCCAACTGAAGGCTGCTATTGCAAACCGAGTTATACAAGAGATAATAATGGTGTATGTATTTTAATATCAGATTGCCCATTATGCCTACCTGTGCCAACTTAAATGAAGTATAACTAGTATAAAATTAAACAAAGCTAAAGATTTTCAAGAAAAAATTATTGTTAAAATATACATATGGCGAATAGTAATAAATTGGCATTCTTTTAAAAATTATTTTCTTTAATATATAATTGTAGCTTTAAAATTTAGATGGGTATTTCAGATTAAATGTATGCATTTGCACATGTTTAGCCTTTTTCGACTGGCAAGTTGTACCCTCATCATTATAAATGGACATTTAAGTAGTTTTAAATATTTTTTGGGACAAATTTTCGTCTCTTTATGATAATATTGTGTAACCGGAGTAATAGGAATCGTTTTTTTAATAGATACAAAATTAAATTGCGACGTAGACAATAAGTACTCAATTTGATAAACTGAGTATTTTTGAAAATGCAGTTAACATATATCTGCAAAATTATATCTAATATTTCAATTTCAAACTTTAGCCTATACTAAAACTTTTGCAAAAACTTCAAAGTTGCTCCTTGTAATAGAAATTTTCGCAGTTGTTGAAGTATGTTACAGTTTACTTTAATTTCAACTAACTTTAATTATCTTGCGACATATTTGGATCTACCATTTTTAACTTGCATTAGTAACATTGAAACTGCAAATTTGTGACAGATTTTTTAAAATTTTAGTTTGCATTTATAGTTTGAAAATATTCCGTCAAAAAATATTGACACTTTTTGAAGTACTAACTTATGAAATTTGCTACACAAATTAAGTACTAAAATACAACTGAATCATCAAAACTCCCACTATCTAAATATATTTATAATTATTATAATTAAGCAATATTTTTTTAAGAAACAAAATGCTTAACTAAAAAACGTACGTGGATATCTTCGCGTGAAAGAGGAAGGAACAGAATCCAGACATTTTTTTCTTTACTTAAATTTAAAATGTTATTTACACAAGTTTTTATTTTTATCAGTAATTGGATTAAAAAATAAATTAATTTTTTATTTACGAAATTACCGTCTGTGAGCATCAAAACAAAACTTATATATGTATAAAGTAACGTTATAACTTAACGGGATCCTAAAAATAGAACTTTTTTTAACTATTAAAAATTTATAGAGAATAAAAATATTTCAATTTGCAAATTAAGCATCAATTTGAGAAGTTTAATAAAACATTTTTTTTTTGAACTTGTGAACATATACAATTGACGCGCACTTGTTCCTTATTTGAAAAGCAGAAGAGAAAAGTATAATTTCGTCTTACGTAAATCCGACTTGAATATTGTATTGTTTTTAAAACCTTTTTATTCAATATTGGGTTCAGAACTCTACCGTGATTCATTCTATCCTATTCTAAGCAGAAAAAAAATTTAATTATGCTTTTCTAATACATTCTAAGTACTCTGATTTTAACTTTAATTAAAATTCTTTCAATAATAGCGTAGAAATATTCATTAAACTTACTAACATTGATCGTAACAAATACGAATATTTTTATTCATTTATAAGCACAACACATGTAACGCTTATCACATACACAATTTTTTGTTCATATTATTTTCATATTTTTAAATTTGCTCAAAGCATTTTCAGAAATTAAAAAAAAAAATATTATTTTTTAATCATATGAAAAAAAAAATAAATAAATTATGTAATTAACTCGCGGTAATTTTCATTATATCATTAGTTACCGTTATATAACATGATACTAAATTTTTTGATATTTGCTTTTATAACAAGTTTCATTATTTTTGCTTGTTGTTGTTGTTTTTCATTTTGACGGCATTGTATTTTAAAAATCTAGATAAGATTACTTTTTTATCTGTGTGGTGAAAACTGAATTAGAGAAAATATGACAATAATATTACGTGTAAATTAGATCCAGATTAAACTTTACATTAATCGTACAAGAATACTTTTCTTTGATTAGATCATGTTTGACATTATAGATTTATATAACCGGGGTAAAACCGCACCGCAACCGTGTATAAGGATCTATTGTGTTCGTCCTCTCAGTTCGGGGCATGCCCTACGATATCCGCTCAGGACCCACCATCCTGATGAGCTTGAGCACCCTGTGAGCCCCGAAAGACCGAAACTCCGTGACATCAAGGCCCCAAGTATTTCCCTTCTCCTACGAGTGAGAACATCACACTCTCCCAACAATCGCTCCGACTGCCTTCTCTTTCATTCCTTTCTTAGCTCCCAACGAACTGTATGGTCCGGTTCCGCAGAAAAGATACAAGCCCCTCCTCACCAGGCGTTAGCTGCCTCATTTCATTCTACCCTTCTGGACTGCCATCCAGCACAGAGTGACCCGATTGCGTCTACCTAATTCATTGAACCTCCCAAGACAGCTCCATAATGTCGTGGAGGATAGAAAAAACGAATTCAGAGCGCCGACCAGAGCCTATCATATTATCTTCTGTACACTCGAAAACGTTGCCATAGTCTCAGAACATTTGTTTTTTGGCACAAACGCCGTCGACCATCTGTTTCCCATATGATGGTGTACGATCCCTCTGGTTAACCTCTATGATGGAAGTGCATGCGAGTCTATGCAATTGTTCCAAGTTTCTCTTAGCTGTTTCACGTGTGGTATTGTACAGGCAATATCCTTTTATAACATTCACAGTTCTGTACATACGTATGTAAGCAGAAGAGCATCCCATGAAGACGGAATCGGCGAACATATACAAACTATAGTTATATTTTTATCGCTCGTCGATTTTAATCGTTGATCTTCGCTTGAAGCTAATAAACTATCCTTTTTTAATAGAAATTATATTCCCATTTTTTCTGTTATGTTCAACTCATAAAATTTTTAATCTTAACATAAAATTTAAAAGTTTGCTAGAATTTTTCTCTTTTTCTACAGAAAAAATATTGTACTTGTCTGCTATATCAATAACATTGTACGTAAGTTAAATCTTGATTGACTATAAAACTTTGTTTGTACAAATACTAAAAAGTAATTGCGAAAATGTTTTAAAAAACATATGAATATTTCATGATCCTAAAAAAATGTTGTTTATGATTGATTAAAAAATTATATCTTCAATTAATAATTGACAAAACACTCTCTTGTTCTCAAAATAAAGTTGACATATTTGATTTCTCTCAAAGAGCATTTGATTTTTTATTAAATTCATGAAAATTTAATGAATTGAAAAAAATGACTAATTTTTCCAGCCGTTTTGAATTTATCAATTCTTATTTCACTTTATTCATTCATTCAAATCCGAACTCACCATCTAATTATCTAAATTAAGATAGATTATTGACAATAACTTTCAAATTTACATTTATACAAGCTAAATTTGTTAACGTTGATATTCTTTAAGAACCAGGTTTGTTTTTTAAAAATCATATTTGAAATTATAGGCTCAGAGAACAATCAAAATATTTGTGATATACATAAGCTAAAAACTACATTTATAGCTATACAAAAAAAAAATTAAAATAAAATCAGAGTCTTTAAATTAAAAAATTAACCATTCCAATTATGTCCGCTTGCTTGAAATTTCGTAAGGTTTCATTTTTTACAACTATTAAACCTGTAGTAGTATAAAATCTTCATTGCACACATTATAAGAAAAAGAACTTTATATTTACAAAATTTTTTTAATTTTAAGAGATCTTCAATCATTATACCATTTAAACTTTTCTCATTTAAAATAAAATTTATTTTAAATTGTTCACAACTGTTATTATCATATTTCATTCTCACTACAAAAAAAATTTTGCACACATTTTAAGTTTAACCCTTCTTTTTAAAGTTGAAACTTAAGAGTGTATAATTAGAAATTTATATTTGAAAAAAAAAACAAATCTCCTCTTTTTTTACATACTTAGAAAAACCATGAATCTTCTCATGAATTCTACGAAAATCTACTCAAAATCAAAGTTTATATTTACAAAATTTTAAGCACACTCCACTTTCTATTTGTTTTTCAAAAAGTATACTTCTATCCTATTATACATTATTTTATACCTTTAACAAAACAACAAAAGTTCTTAAGACTTTAAAATAATAACCCCGTTGTATATTATAAAACAATGGTAGGAAATATGAAAAATTTGTAGGTATACCTTTTATGAGTACATTATAAATCTTGCCATATATGTCTTTCATTTGTATAAAAAGTATACATGCAGCATACATTATAGCTACCGTTTATTTGCATGATAGATTTGTTGAATATTTATGTAGAATTTGTCGGCTTTTCCATAGATAACATATAAACATATGATTGCTATGATATACATAATAATAATAGACGTTGAACATTTTAACAATTTTTTAAAAATATTTTTAAATTTCAGCATCTATCATTCTTCTCCATCTTTACCTAAGCCGGCTTAAAATTTTAGTTTCAATGAGTTCATCCTATTTTAATGACCTTTTTGTTATCCCGTTATCCCCATTCGGTAAAGTGGCCAATTTCTTTTCACTTATTCTTACCACTTAACTTTAACCCGAGTACGAGTACTAATTTGTGTAGTCGTGTATGTATATTTTAAAAAATTAGTGATTTTATAAATTCGAAATTTTTTTAATTACGGTTACTTTCCTTGAAATACCGATAATAAAAATATCAAATATTTACCGAAGTGTAACAGCTAGTTTGACAGTTGATTGCTTGATATGTTTTTGACTAGAATACATATCCATCAAATTTGTTTTGTTATTGTTAGTCTGTCTTTTCAACCCTAGTGAAATTTAATAACTCTTTTGCTAAGATAACTTTTCTTAAGTTTATTGTTTTAACAATTATACAGTTAAATGTTAAATATAAAATTAAGAAATAAAGAAGAAAAGGAATTCAAATAAATGTTACTGCTTTTGAAAAAATTAATAAAAAACGAAAGTAAAATAAAAAACATTTAAAATCCTACCATTAAGACTGTAAACATTTAATAGAAATTTTTCACACTTTTCTTAACTTTTATTAGACAAATTTTGTTTTTTATTTTGAGAAAAAGGAAAGGAAATTGTTTATACCTACAAATTTCAAAGGTAAGACCTTGTGA